CTGGTTCCTAGAGTTAAATATGTAAGGCCCAGCACCCCAAAATAAATCTCTTTCTATTGTTTTAAATTAAAATAATACCATTCCGATACTTTCCTACTCAAGTTTAGTCATGTTCTTAATGAATTCGGCCCTCAACTGGAATCTAGTCAATCCCTTCCCCTGGATATCAAATGTTATTGTTGGGAAATAAAAAGGATGAAATAGAAAAGAGAAGGTGTTTGGCAAAACTAATAAAAAATAAAAAAATAAAAAGTTCATGTCAGATTCGGATAAAAAATAATGGAAATAAGAACAATAAATAGGCAAAAAAAAAGAACGCTACAAGACAATTAACATGTTGACGGCAGTATACTGACAACAGTACAGCCGATGTAGAAGCTACTTAATAATTAATATGGAAACTAGAGTTTTTTGTATTCCTTGTCATGCAAACATCCCTGGCATGACGCAAGCCAGTGCTAAGTTCCTGCCAGGGACCGAAATAAAGCAAGGGACTGACGTCAGAACACATTCAAAGCCAATTTACCTTGACTCTCACACCTGGGCAGGCTTAACTCTGGATACTCTACGCCTAGCCAGCGCCAATACAGGTATGACTGACAGAGAAATGGTGTGACATATTATCTCAATTTATCTGAGAAGTAATAATTAGTTTTAGCTGCACAAGTGTAGGCTAATCAGTACTAGCTGAGCTGTATAGGGGGTCATGCTGTGTGATCAGCTCCCTCTGGCTCAAGGGCAAATGGTCAGTAGTGGGATACCCCCACTGGGACCATTAAAATGATAAGCTGAACCTCAGCCGATATAGTGTAGATTTGATTTGTTATTTTAAATTCAACATACTATTTCTATGTAGCTTCATTCTTTTATACAAGAATAGAGAAATAATTACACTAAGCATTATGTGTAGTTTATGGAACTGTTTTGATTATTCAAATCAAGCAAGTAGTTTTGATTCTGTATATGTTTTACTGTCATTTGAAGTGTTCAAATACTAAATAATTCAATAATGCATTTAAGTTCAATGTTTGTGTTATAAGTACAAGACTTCAGTATAAAGCAGAGAATGTCATCTTTCAGGACAAGTATTTAGATCAGTTGTAACATTTATAGTTTTGATAAAATATCAGGTTAAAGTAAAATAAGAAACACAGCATGGGCCAAATGTCCTGCTGGCTGAGATCAGCAAGGAGCCTCAGCAGGAGGTCTTCTGTGAGGGACAAGTAGCAAGTATATAAGGAACGAGACAGAGAGAGTAGAGAGGGACCTTGCAAGTCAAAAAGGAGAGAGAAACCTTGAGCGTCAGAAAGGAGAGAGTTAAAGATTATCAACATTTGGATTAACCTGAGTAAGCTGTACATGGAAATAAAGATGTAAGGAATGGCAGCAATGGTGTTGGAGTTATGACTACAAGGACGACGTAGGATTACGTCGTATGGCCGGACTATGACATCAGACCCCAAAAGGGCAGCCGG